GACAATATCTCTTTAATTTTCTTTTTAATTAAGGCAAATTACATAACTTCACATGAGCTTCTCAACTCAAATGTAGCAAATAATATTTTATTGAGAGAAGGTCATTAATTTGTTGATATTCTAGATTAACCCGGTACAAAAGACTCTTTACAAAATCATCATCAGTGCTTTCATCCTGTACTAGTAGACTAGAATAATGTGATATATCATCGGCATTACAATACTTTTTTCTAGACTTGTATCAAACCTGAAATTCAAATAATTCAGCAGCAAAACCTATCGCATCAGTCTATCTTTTAATTTTGCTTTATTGAACAATCACTTTAAAGCTTGATAATCCACCCAGATTTCAAATTCAGTTCTACCTATATATCTTTTATTTATATAATATTCAGATATAATTGCTAAATATTCTTTTTCCATAATCATATAATGCATCTTATGTTCGTTCAATTTTCTAGAATCAAACAAAACAGGTCTCAATCTTCCCTTCTCATCTTCTTGTTCAAGTACAACACCAACAGAGTGATCACATATATTGGTAAACATCTGATATATTTTTATTCTTCTTTGGCTACTTGCCAATTGGGAGCTTTTAACACAACATCTTTGGCCAACTTTCATTTTAGAGTGAGAAATGTTCTTTTCTCTTTCTCGTTCTATACAAATTTAGTACCCTTTTGGTAAGATAGATCAATAGTTTGGCTATGCTGCTGAAGTTCTCTATGAATCGTCTATAATAATTGACTGTTCTATAGAAAGATTGTACTTCTTCTAGATTACTTGGCTCTTTTCATTGCTTGAGCTTTTCTATCTTTTTAGGTTTACTTTGATTTTTTCTTTACTTATGATAAAACTATACATTTCTAATTTATTAAACAAAATAAACCACTTTTTGGTAGTGAAAATTAGACCAGCCCTTTTAAATATTTTACTAATTCTATGAATATCTCTAAATAAAAATTCAAGCTGCTATCCATCCAAATGCTAATGTTATCTTGGTAAGCTGCTGCTTTATTTTTCTACCTTACAGCTTCAAGTAATCGATCTATTAGTCTTTGAAAAGTTTTGCTTGTATTCTTTAATCCTATATATATTACTGTATATCATAATATCCCAAGCGATGTGGCTACAGCTACTTTGTCTCAATTATTTTACTTAATATCTATTTGCTAGTAACCTTTAAATGTATCTACTAATGTATACCAATTATGGTCTGCTGTTTGTTCTAATATATCTCTGATGATTAGTAGTGGATAATTGTCTTTAATTATATATTTATTGAGCAGTTTCATATTACCAACTGCTTTAAGTTTATCTGTACCCCTTCTTTCTTTTGCGCAGAAAAACAGTGATAGGCATATTCACTAGTCCCTTTTTCTAATAATCTACATTTCATCATTTCTTTTAGATAGTTCTCAAATAGAATTCTAGTTTTAAAATTATTTATTCTTATAGAGTGCAATCTCATAGACTGAACAATTGCATTGCCAGTTCTAACCTTATACTCAACAAAATTCATCTTCCAATATCCTTTAATTTGTATGCAAAAACTTTAGGTATCCTATCTATTAATCACTCAATTATTTTTGTTCTCATCAGCTCACTACTTACTTTGGGTCCTAAATTAATTAGAGCACTATTTTCTATAGTAAGTCTTGATATCGCAAGTGCATTTTTTCCTATGATTGTGCCATCATTTCTTTCATCTCTTGTATTTCAATAATTTATTTGACTGTAAAATGATAGTCCTTTTAACTCATCATAATCAATAGGTTTGATTTTTGTACTTCTACATAATATCTATTTTCACTTTACTAATAATATCACATATTCATATATCTTTTTCAACTCATACACACCTATTCTTTTCACTGCTATTACATCTTCGGCTTCATCAAAATTACTTTTATTATCACTGTTACCATCATTGTCAAGATCATTTATTTGTAATTCATCTATCCAACTTCTTGGTACTATTTATATTACAAAGAATGCTGATCTTGAGGCAAATAAAATAGTACACCAATATTTTGTTTCTTTAAAGCTAAGGATGTATTGTGCTCTGACATTCCATGGCATACCCAAGAGAATATCAAAGCTGGCCATATCTATCACATAAAATTCTTGATTCACGATAATTCCCTCCATATCGACTTCAACGTTAGGTATATACCTGACAAATTGACTAACTCTATTGTCTGCCATTTTGCTTTTTCTTCTGACATGATTCCACGTTAGCCCTCTACTTATCATATACCTTTTTAACATTATATTTATATATGATCCCAGATCTATTGGGGCTTTAACCATTTCATCATTTATTTTTACTGTCTATACAGATACAACTTCACCCAATTTTGGTCTATTGTCTTGTATTATTCCACATACAATTCTGATTTTCATATTTTGATTATCAACTTCATTTATTTTGTGTCATATTAAGGCCTTCATTATTTCTGATCTGGCTCTTGGTGACCACTTGAATAATTGTCCAAGGGTAATTGTTATCTTCATACCAGATATCTTTTTTAGAATATCGAGTTCACCAGATAATTTTAAAAATAGTATGTACATTATGTTATTGTAACAGTTTGTTTTTTTATTTTTGTGTATTGCCTCCTAGATCTTTCCTCTTTATTCATTGATATTATTGTTTTATTACTGTCATCGTCTCTTTTTCTTTTATCGAACACTTGAATATTACTATATGAATCATCATCCAACAATTTTATCTTTAGATATTCATCACTTTTCTTTGGTGATATCTGCGTAAATTCAACCAAAAATACATTGGTATTATTGAATATTATGTCTTTATTGGTCTGATCATTTTCTTTATCATATTTTGAATAGTCTTTGACGATGTGGCCTTCTTGTTAACAGAGATAACAAGTTCTAAGCTTGTTGTTTTATAGTTGATCCTGTTTTTTATTCATATTTATTATAGTTTTAGTTACAAGATTTTTAACCATATTCACAACTTCGCTTCGATTCAATTTTTCCTCTTGTTTAATCTAATTAATACTGAGTGCCACAAGTCTATTCACAATACTATTGATGTCTACATCTACTTTGTTTAATTGTGCTATTTCAACAGGTTCTGTAGAGTTATTGATTCTATTGAAGTCTTTATCTCTTTTATACTCTTCCATTTCTAATGCTTTTTCTTTGCCTTATTATAATTCTTAGAACAACAACTTTCTATCTTTGATTAGTACAGTTCTTTTAAATCTTGAATATATCAGTCATATTTCTTATTAGCTCTAAACTTGTTTTCTGCAACTTTAGCATAGACTTCATACCTATTCATGTATTCTCTTACAGATTCTTTATCACTCTGTTTTAGATATTTCAATCGAACAATCTTTAATTCAGGTTCATTATCTGCTTTTACCTTTTCTATGATTTTTTTCTTCAGGTTATCACATGCTTTTTCTGTCTGTACTAATTTTCGTACTCACATTCTTGAACTTTCAGACAAATACATATATAACCTAAAACAAGTAGTCTCTTCATCGTACTTTTTTTGACTTAGCATATTCCTCATAATTAAAGAAAAAATCCTCAATGTTGTTAATCTTGGTATCTTTGTATACAGGTATTGTCATATCTTGAGTTTTCATTTGTTGTTTATTTCATTTGTATCACTAATATTCTTTCATTCATTACACTAATACTTCTATCTTTGTTCTATTTTCAACTTCACTGCTTGACCTTTTGATCACAACCTTTATATCCTTATAAATTATAACGTTACTACTATTGTATTTAACTATAATAGTTTCGGTGTCAACAATAGTTAGGCCTTAAATCTGTAACTTCAAATTTACTAGTTTGGTTTTGGAAACTTTGCTTTAACTAAATTTGACCCTTACAGGTTTGTCAAATACAAGAGATGATAGCAAGTTGCCCAGGTTCTTCCTTGTCGTGAGATTAATAGATATTTGTAACAAACAATATCGTAGCCCAAATGTTGTGTGGTTTTATTTCACTTGCTTTTGTTACTCACTTCAAACTCTTGAATCCATGCCTGTCTATACCTTAATAGCTTCTCTGATCATGTTTTGCTCCTACAAGGCACTGTGATACAATTAAATCAGCACAGGTTTTGATTACTAGAAATTGAAAAGTAGGTTCGATCCTTTAGATCGAACCTCTTATTTATTTATTTTCTTATACAAGATTACATAATAAACTATACACAATAGACTATTCTACTACAGACTTTATATTATTAGATATGCTTTGATTATATACTTCTCATCGCATAATGTTACACTAATTACAAATTACAATTAATCCTACAACTAATGCCTTGGCACTAATTGCATATGCAACCAATTAATTACTATCAGATATTATTAGGAAGAATGGTGCAAGTGTTGCTTATACAAGTATAGATATGGTATAGTAGTGTTCTGAAGTTTAGTTTAGTTCAATTTAGGTTCAGGTTCAAGTTCAATTGAACCTAAACTGAACTTTAAATTTTGCAGATCTTTGAACCTGAACCTGAACTGAACT